GGGGGGGGGGCTCTGAGTTGCTCTTGTTCGGTTTCCTAAGGAGGGAGGCGCTTCAGCTTCTTGGTTACAAAGCGCACGCAGGTGGCTGTCGGCCCCTCGGAGGGGGTTCAGGCGGAGCACATCGATCTGGGGATTGATGTGGCGGAGCGTGACTGCCAGCAAATGCTGAGGTGGCAGAATTTATTAAGCACATCCTTATCGTGAACTCCTTTCTAGTAATACCCCATAAACTATATATATCTCACTTTATATTAAATGCTTTGTGCTCATAGATGTTTTACCATATCCCAGAATTAATCTCCAGTTCTCCTTTAACACNATCTCACTTTATATTAAATGCTTTGTGCTTATAGATGTTTTACCATATCCCAGAATTAATCTCCAGTTCTCCTTTAACACACCTCCCAGCATTCTGCATCCCTGATGTATTGTTTTTCACTTGGAAATACCTTATTATGTGTATTTCTTGTTGATTTTAATATAAATTAAAACTCTGAAATCAAAGAGGCTCCTTCCAGCTCTAAGATCCATGAACCTAGAAAATAAACTCTATTAAAATAAATGTATTCACTAAGCAGGTATGTAAACCAGACAAAGTATTAAGAGCACATTTTTCTGAACTAAATAAAAATGAGCTTTCAAAAGGTTTAAAATAATTCTGGAAAGAAAAGCCCTGGCTGGCGTGAGCATTGTCTGGTGTACCAAAAGGTTATGGGTTTGATTCCTAGTCAGGGCACACGCCCAGGTTGTGGGTCCCATCAGGATGCACACAGGAAGCAACAGATGGAGCTCTCACACCGATGCTTCTCTCTCTCTCCTCCCTTCCTCTCTCTCGCAAATCAACATTCAAAAAAAAATNCTGTGGGTCCGATCCCCGTCAGGATGCACACAGGAAGCCACTGATGGAGCTCTCACACCGATGCTTCTCTCTCTCTCCTCCCTTCCTCTCTCTCGCAAATCAACATTCAAAAAAAAATTCTGAATGTATATGAAATACAGTTTTATATCATGTTGAAAAAAATGGATACCTGAGAGATATTTATAAACATTCAGTGTTTTATTCAGATCGCACAAGTTATTTTTTGTTTGTCAAAACCGGTAAGTATATATCTGATTACATTTTGTAAAGTAATGTTTAATCACTAGTTNTGATTGTCAAAACCAGTAAGTATATATCTGATTACATTTTGTAAAGTAATGTTTAATCACTAGTTGTCTATGTGTGTGTTTTTTCTTTCCTTTGGCAGTCTCTAATTTTAGCACAGAATAAATTGTAATCAGGAAAGGAATTACCATATCAGAATTTATGTCTTGCCCAGCCGGGCGTGGCTCAGCGGTTGAGCATCGGCCTAGGATCCAGGCGATCAGGGTTCAATTCCCGGTCAGGGCACATGCCCCGGTTGGGGCTGCAGCCGATCAATGACTCTCTCATCACTGATGTTTCTATCTCTCTCTCTCCCTCTCCCTTCCTCTCCCTGAAATCAATAAAGATATATTTAAAAAAAAAAAGGAATTTATGTCTAGTAGTCACAACTAATAATAAAAAAATAATAATAAACACAGCCATTCTTTCTCAGTATCATCAAATGTTCTAACATGACTTAAAGTTTCTGAGAACCTCATTTTTAACAAACAGTGTATTGAACGGGGACATTAACTCATCTACATTTGAAAAATACTTCAGTTATGTAATAATCCAGTCTCTGAAATTACACACCATAGGGGTGAGGTTATTCATTAAATATTCTACTTTTTTTCTCTTTGGATGTTTGTCACAACTTTATTATGTGAAACATTAAAAACAGATTAAGTGCCTGACATAAGAGAGTAGTTTAGAAAGATTATGGTACATCCATAAAATAGAATACTACAAAAGGATTCTAAGTCTATAAGGATATGGATATACGTTCATGACGTATTGCAAAGTGAGACATTAAGGTTACATAATACTATGTATACTAAAATACAATTTTAGGAGGGAAAAACCAATGCATTGTTTGCACACAAAGGTGGACGACTTCAGAGGAAGTACATTTAAAAGAACAAACACTAAGTTTTAACAGTGGCCATCATTTGGTTGCATTCTGGGCAACAGTTTTTTCATTTGTTTATATTTTCTCATTTGTATCATGAACATGAAATACTTGTGTACTCAAATATCTAAAACTCATTAAAAATTTCAAGTCAGATTCTTGGGCAACAGAAAACAAGAACCAAGATATATTTAAAATAAATACAGAAAGCCATATTTTTAATTTGTAAGTGCTACGTGTATGCTGAATGATTTATCGAGATGATGTTTTGCATAACTAAATGTAAAGTCAAGAATTTGGCACCACAAATATGTTGGTTGGAATAGCAAAGATAGTTTAATGCCTATATTAGCATAAGGGCAATCCTCTGTAAGTTTTCTGTGTAGTTTCACAGTAGTAGTCACAGAATATTACCTCTGGGTCGCCTCTTCTCTCCCAATAACCCTGGAGCTATCTGTTCATTAAAAATAATGTGGCCCGGCCGGGCATGGCTCAGCGGTTGAGCCTCGACCTAGGATCCAGGAGATCGGGGTTCGATTCCCGGTCAGGGCACGTGCCCGGGTTGCGGGCTCGATCAGTGACTCTCCCATCATTGATGTTTCTATCTCTCTCTCCCTCTCCTTTCCTCTCTCTGAAGTCAATAAAGATATATTTAAAATAATAATAATAATAATAATAATAATAATAATAATAATAATGTACAACTCCTACCATGAAATGCAAACTTATAAAGAAGTATGTAATTGTAATAATAAAAGCTCTTGTACAGTGATTTGCTATGTGCCAGGCAATGTTTTCCATGTAAAATCCATTTAATCCTCAAGACATTATGATGTCATATTATTATTACCCCGTTCTCCAGATGAAGAAACCAGGGCACATGGAGGTTAAGTAATTGATCCAAATACAGATCATCAGTGGCAGAGAAGGATCCAAATGTCAGCAGCCAGAGTGCTTTTAACCACCATAATATACTGCTTCTTAACAAAAAAATTAATAGGATATTGTCAGAAAATAATACACATATGAATACATAAGATGTATTTATGGTAGAAACTATTTCAGTGAACTGTCTATAATTTCAGACCTTATCAGGGAATCTCATGCTCTATTCTCAGATGTTTTCTCTCCACCCAGAGTCACCTAAGGCCATCAGGGGACTTGCATGCTCCAAGGCTAGATAATCTCCTGCAAGGTTTCCAGATTGCGTACAACACCCCTGGGTATTTTCCATTTTCCATACTGTCTGAGAAATGTCCAAACACTATGGCTTAATGAAATGATACTGACAAACAGAATAACTGGAGGAAAGAAGAAAGTAGTCCCTCCCATGTCTCTTCTCGAGAAGCCACCATGAATTCCCTCACTGACCTTCCTCCCATGCTTTCTGGTCTTTTCACAGAACCCAGGAAACGAGAGAGAAAAAAGGTCCCACCATGTTCCCTCTCCCCCCGGGTAAGAGAAAGTCCCGAACTTGACTAACACTCTAGTAACAGTCTAATTAATCCTACCCATTTTTACTGGATTTCATGTTACAGCTCTAGACCAAGTCTGATTAAGGATTGAAACTGTTAGCATGGTCAAGTCTGGCCCTTATGAAATCCAAGCAACAACAGCAACACTGACTGACATAACTGGGCTACTTAAAAGGTTAAACAAAGACACAATTTATAAATATACGAATCCTCTGCTCATTAATTATCTTAATGTTTTTTAGTCTTTGGGCAAAAAGTACACATTTAATAACATAACCTGTAGAATTTCAAAATAAATGGTTAAAAGGCAATATGAAAAGTTAACGATTTGCAATGTCCCAAGCAAAAAAAAATTATAGTATTATTTAGCTAATGGATTCTGACAAATATTCTGTGACTGTTCTGGATACAANCCAAAAATTAACGATTTGCAATGTCCCAAGCAAAAAAAAATTATAGTAGTATTTAGCTAATGGATTCTGACAAATATTCTGTGACTGTTCTGGATACAATAGTTGAGATAACAAACATCTGAGTTTCCATTTCCCTTGTCAATCTTAAATTTTCTGGAGATGTATGAGTAAAATCTGTAGCTGGTACAAACAGATGACAGACTTGGGAGAATGGAGCAGCTCCACCAATTTCNGAGAGTTGGGAGAATGGAGCAGCTCCACCAATTTCTCCCTGTTTCTATTTAACTTTGAACTTGCTATAACCAATTACTGATTCTGAAAGTGCTTCAATCACTAATTTTAACTAATCTAGATCTGGACAAGAGTCTTAGAATCAGAATTACCAGTTCCCTATAGGTAAAAAACAAAATCAAGGAGTAGCAGATACAGCCTAATTGTTTTTGTCTGGGCCTCTGGCCTCTCTTATGCCTTCAATTCCACCCCATTTCTCAAGGTCAGTATTCAAGGGACTACTTTAGCATTAGAGATTTCATAAGAACTCTTTGCCCCAACACACAGATGACTTGGACTTTTCTTCTTCTTTTCTGCCTAAGAGCATTTAAAGTCCGTGAATTCTTTTGATAGCCTTTCCCCTAGGTAATTGAGAAAATGTGTTGATAAAATGGAATGCTTACATTTGAAAATCTTGTGGAATAAATATAGAACAGATCAGCTCTTGAAAAAGGAATGTGTTTTTTAAAGAATGTTTGAAATTTTTTCAGTGACAAATACTCTCTGATCTTTGGGGTAGGAGGAGTAGTCATTAAAAAGTGGAAGTAGGTTAATGCACTTTGCTCCAGTTCTCACTTGCTGACTCTCCCCGAGTCTGAGTAATGACTACAACTACACAATACATAACCCAAATTTTCCACCTCCAGTGGGGCGTTTGTCCTAAGGCTGTTGCTAAACAACAAAATTGCCTCAAGTGACTGTGCTCCTGTGCAAGAAATTATTTTCAACAGCCTGAAGCGTAACAGAATGTTTTATGTGACAAGTTTAAGAAATGTTGCTTATCAGATGGCACAGGAGTCAGTTTCTACCTCTGCTTCCAATCTGATCTGTCTGGTTTGAATATTTGTAAAAAAAAAACAACAAAAAACACCACCAACAAAAAAAGTTCATCATATTTTCTCTGCCTCTTCCAGATACAGTGTCAAACTAATACATAAATAAAGTTGCCTTTCAAAGCGTGGATACCTTAATGTTGACACCCTGCAGTTCTGCCTTAGACATCTACCAGCTCCCCTGGATTAGTACAAACGTTTAAAGAAATGCAGAGTCAAACCCTGTCCAAGAAGAAGAACTGAACAATTACAATGGCAGGTAACTAATTAAAAATGACTTTTTAGCTCCTGAAAGACGCTAGCTTGATGCTTGAAATATGCAGATATGTAGGAGTGCAACTGGACGGATCACTTAAGCACTGACTCTGCCCTAAAATTACATAACACCTTCTGTCAGAGGCCCAGAGCATTTCCAAGTGTAAGCCTGTCTAGAGCAGAATAACAATGGGACTAACAATCCAGAATTAACAGAGGCCCATGGGCATGTCTGCTATTCTCTTCATTACACCGTGCAGGTGGTTTACCTCGGGGACTTTTCGACCACGGGAGCTGGAGAAGGCACTAGGCAAGTGTCATTTGAAAGAACTTAGCCGAGCTGCTTATGCTCCCGTTATGCTTGGTGTCAACTGGGCCGTTTTAATCTTATCAATTTATCATGCATTTATTCAAATGATTACTAAGAAAAGATCTATGAAGGGAGAAATCTGGGATCCTGCTGGTTTCATTAGTCACAATTTTCCATAGTAGTTGGCATGTCAGTTCGTGATCGTTAATAGCATATTTCCACGAGTTATTTTAGAGGAAGGGAAGGGAAGAGAGAAAATAACGAAAGGAAGAAGAAACAACTGTGGGTGAAAATGGGGCAACGTAACAAACCCGACAGGCTCGGGGGCTGCAGGGCAGTGACCGAAAGTAACCACACAGGAGGATCTGATCCTGAATTCCTGACAGGGCAGGTCGCGGCCGGTAGTCACGTCCCTCCCCTATAGCATCCTTAGCAAAGACCGGCTTTGACCTTAAGCGAGCCCTGCCATGGCTCTATCGCATCTAGGGCAGCATACTTTTGAAATGTCAGAGGCATGACCCCCGGCACCACAGCACAAGAACATTCCCAAGGCCGCGAAGCCCCCCTGCTACCTTGCGGCCCGCATACCATCTCTATGAGCTGTAAATGCCAAGGGTTAACTGTGTTTCTCCTTTTTTCTTTTTATCCAATTCTACAGATTTCCCCGCTTTGCTTTCTCCTGCTCCCCACAATCTACCGCCCATGGATTTCATTTTCTCAATCCGTGGAGATTTTGCTTCCAGGTATGTCCTCAACATTTTGGCTCAAGTAAACTCTTATAAAACTTTTCCATAGGCTGGAAGTTCTTTCATCAACACAACAATACAAAAATAAAAAGAAGATGACTGTGGGCAAAGGAACAGGAACAGGGGTGTAACCGCAGATACTCTACCCGGTGAGCAAGGAGCAAAAACACCTATCGATTCAGGCAGGGAAACGGTGGAAAGTTACCTCAGGTAGATATGAGAAAACGTTTAGAGTATCTGACCTGTGTGTGGGGATTTAAACCTCATGCTAAGTATTAGTTTTCCATTGCTGTGGTGATCAATGACCACACATCTAGTGGCCTAGAACAACAGCCTTTTATTATCTCCTGCTTTTGTAGGTCAGAAGCCCACAAACAGTGTGGCTCTGCTCTGTTCCTGGCTTAGAGTCTCAAAGGCCGAAATTAAGGTGTTTGAAGGCTGGGCTCTTTTTTGGAGACTCTGGGGATAAATCTGTTTACAAGCTTATTCAGGTCATTGGCTGAATTAGTTCCTTGCAATTATAGAACCGAGGTCTCTGCTCCTTGCTGTCTACCAGACAGGAGGCTGCCTTTGACCCTAGAGTATGTCCCCCTTTCTTCTCAGGCCTTCCACGTGGCTCCTCCAACAACAGCAGCCGGGCTTCTCACACTTCCAATCTCTCTGACTCCCCCTTTGGCCAACATTCCTTTACTTTTAAAAACTCATGTGATTCTATTGGGTGGACCCAGATAACCCAGGATAATTTCCTGATTTTAAGGTTCATAACCTTAATTCCATATGGAAGGACCCTTTGCCATGTAATGCAGCACAGTCACAGGTTTCAGAGAATTGGCCATGGACATCTTTGGAATGCCCTTATTCTATCATAAGCACCTTTTCAGATTCTCTTGGCAGCCTCCGCCCTTCTCTCTCTTTGTGAGTGTCCTGCACATTCAGGCTGCGCTTTTATATTAGGATTGAATTGGAACACCACACTGCGGCCATTGACGTCAGGTTTCCTGAGTGACTACTGAAATGTGAGGAAGTATGCCTCCCATAGGGTGAGTATTTCTAGCGAAGTCACCAGTGCAGGCTGGTCCACCTGCTAAGTGACCCCTTGGTCTCTGTCTGGCCTTCTGTGGAGTGGTAACAGCATGGCAAGGCATCACAGCACACTGCTTCGCATCTTTATTGGCTTCATAGCCTGTTTTCCCCGGTGTCTTTTATACCCTGCACACTGGGCTTACATCTCCTAAATAAAATATTAGCCCTTCAATCCTTGCCTCAGGCCCTACTTTCCAAAGGAGATCGACCAAAAACATGCCTTTTGCAACTGTCCCCTTCATAGAGGTGGGCTGTTTATAAGGCAACATTGGATCTGTTGGCCAACACTGACTGGAGGGGCCTTCATAGAATACCACTGTCCCAGAAACAGAAAATTGGGCTAATAAACACTAATCTCTGTTTTCTTGCAACCAAAACTGAGGCAATGTAGATAACCCTGTACATTGAAAAGCAAAGAAAGGTGGGCTGCTAAGAAAAATAGATGTGAGACCATGAGGTATCAGACAGGCTGACCCACAGACAAACGGAATTACTGCTTACCTTTGCTCCGGATGGGTTTTCAGTTTCTGTTTCCAGGCCCTTATGATGAGACACACTTGTATCCTTGCAAGAATTTCCTCCTCTTGAATTCAGCTAGTTTGAAATGTCATTAAAGAGACCATTCCAGTTATTGTTGCTATGTACCATCCCCAAACCCAGTGGCAAAGAACCACCACCCCGTGATACAGATTCTGTGGGTCAGGAATTTAGACAGGGCTCGGTGGGGACCGCTTCTCTCTTATTCACAATACCTGGGGTCTCAGCTGGGAAGGCTTGAAAGCTAGAAGTGACTCAACAGCTAGAGGCTCGAAGCATTTTGAGATGCTACCACTCATTTGTCTGGGGAAAGATGTTGACTCTTGGCTGCCTGCTAAACACAGCCCTTCTAGGTGGCCTCTCCACATGGGCCAGTTGGGTTTCCTCACAGTGTGGCTAGAACCTCACAAAAGAACAAGGGCATGCGTGGCATTTTGGGATCAAACCATCACTTCTGCTATGCTCTGATAGCCCAAGTAGTCACAAAGGTCCACCCAGTTTCCAGAAAAGGGGACACAGACCCCACCCTTCCACGCGGGAAATGTCAAGGTCATGCGGTAAAAAGAACATGTGCGATGTAAGATCTCGTTACAGTTTTGGAAAATACAATCTGACACAGGCACTGGCCCTAAGACAACAGGTAAATCGGGGCTCATTCTGGAGGGTTCAGTGACAAGGGAGGAGGTTAGAAGTCCATCCTGAAGTCAGTGAAAAGCGAGATTTTTGAGCAGAGAAGTGTGACAGCTAAAGAGGGCTAGAAGCAGGTGGCTAGATAAAAATGATGAGAATTGTAGTCTTCTGAGTTTGTCCCATTTGATAGGGGCCAGGGTTTTTATTGTGCTTTGGGGGCAAGGCAGACGGGTCCTATCATTATACGTATCAAATGCATGCCCGGTGATTTTGTGTTACTCTACCAGTGTCGCTTCACACTTGAGCTAAAAACTAATTTAAGCCTCTATTTCACAATAGGAGTTGCAGAGTAAATCAGTCGATTTAAAACTTACACTGTTTTATTCTATTGGAAAGGTGCTTTTCACTGTTGATCACAGCACTGACTACACACACAGAAAGTACTCCTCCCTCACCCCCTTCAAGCTCTACATGAAAGGGTTTCTGACACAGAAGTTCTGGCTGAAGTGGAAAATGTCTGAGTGACACATGACATTCTCTCTCACACACACAGTCTGAGGATGATTTGAGATTTGGAATGAAAGCTCAAAAGCCAGCGAGGAAAGGCAGTGGAGTAGATTATCAGTAAAATCTTCATCTAAGAAAATAGTCCAAAACCCTTCACCAGAAGCATTACCTTTTCATTTTTTCTTTTTCCCCAAAAAGCTTTTTGTTTTTTATGCTACAGAAACACACATTTTTACAGATTACCAACCTATCACATAGTGTCTAAAGACTTTTAAGAATCTAAAAGAACAACATGAATTAAACATACCATGAAGAATGTTTTTGTATCCCGAATTTTTCCTAATACATTTGTTTTATTCATTTCAAAAGCTGTTTCCCCAGCTTTCAATTTACTAGAAACTTCTCTGCTTGAGTCTCTCCATTACAACTTGTCCATATTTTGCTTAATAAGAAGGTATAGCAATAAATTTGGCCTATTTTTTTTCAAGTATCTTTCTTAAAATATCACAGGGAATAATTCTAGAATAAAAGAAAGGTTAAATCTACCTTGGATTTTCCTAGTCAGTACTTTTATGCAAAGAGATCTATTGTTTTATAAAAAGATACTGGCTCAATGGGCTTCATGGAAGTAATATTTCATTTCCTAAAATAATTCCTCAGTTTTCATAAGGGGTTGAGTTTTGTATCATAATTCTTTACACTGGGGAAATGTGTCATCTCCATAGGACAGGTCTGCACAGTCTTTACTTGCTAAGCCAGAGCAGTGAACATTTCTCAGAGCACGTACACAGCAGAATACTACACCCTGTTTGTTTCACATGTTCAAATACTATCTTTATCTTCCAAGTGTTTTACATTTTTAAAAGTGAGACAGCATCTCTTCTCCATGAAGGTATTAGATAAGAACTTACTGGTGCTTTCATACAGCAATAAATACCTGAGCTTACTGCAACCTGGCTATTAAATGGCCATCTGCCATGCCTCTACCATCTGATTACAAAACTATTTGAAAACTTGGACAACAACTGCAAATGTATGTCAGGTGACTCTCAACATGATCTTTAATAGCCACATTAGAAGATGTATGTGGAGCAGAAGGGCAAAAGCTCGCTTGATCTTGATTTTCAGTACGAATACAGACCGTGAAAGCGGGGCCTCAAGATCCTTCTGACCTTTTGGGTTATGTTAGTTATGTTATTGAGTCAAAATAATTGATTCATCTTGAGCTGACTGTGACTGAGACATTAAATTTCATTAAATCAATCAGCAGCAAATTAAATTGTGAATAAGAATATTAGTATTTTCTTCTTTTGTCATTATTGTTAAGAATCTATCTAGCATGCAATATATGACCCCAAAATCTATGCAACTGCTGGAGTTTTCCATTTGTTATTCCTTACAACTGCTGGACTTCTCGGGATTTTTTTAATGGGAAAAAGAAATAAACAAGCCATTGTTTGCAATAAGAAAGTAGCATGATCTGTGGGAAAAGCATAGCTGGGCTCACCCAACTATTGCTCTTCCTTGCTGGGTAATCTGTGGCAAATTACTTATCCCTGCCAAGCCCCACTTTCCTCAGCTAAAGCAGGAGTACAATATACCTCCCACACTCCATGGAAGAGTGAGTGTGAATGAAGACCCTCCCTACATGCAAAGTGGCTAGCTTAGTGTCTGGATGCTAACAGGTTTTCAATCATGATATCTGTGATTAGGATTATGTTTACCAGGAAGAGATTTTTATTAATTCATTGGCAAAAACCTATGGATACCTATTTTTTGGTGATGATGGAATACCCTTATGAAGCTTACATTCCAGAGAGCAAGACAGAAAATTAATAAGTAAATAACCCGCAGGATGTCTTTTTCCTGTCCTAGAAATGAGGTCTGAGGCTGCAATAAAACAACAAGGTCAGCTTTCTGCTGTTGCTGACTTTCTGGTCTCAGCCACAGAATCACAGATCTCCTCAACCTCAGGCCAGATTATCCAAGTTTTCAACTTGTAATGAGGCACCATGTGTGAGGCTGTGGAAATAAATCACACAGCACTGGTTCCTGGGGCAGAAACAACAGAGACCTGGGCCCTCAGGCACGCTCAAGGGCTCATGCATGAAACACACGACAGGATTAGTCCTTGGGACGAGAGGCAAAGCGGAAACAGAGAAGCCACATCCATCAGCCAGCCCGAAACGTGAGACCCATGCTTACCTAAGGACAGCTGGAAGCGAGGACGGTCCACTCCTGTGTCCCATAGTCTGTTCCTCCACGTGCTTGCGTGCAGTCTCATACAAATGGGTAACTAGAAGATACAGGTGGGGGTGAACAGCTGGCATTATTTTCTGTTCCAATGAGTGCAAATAGTGAAAACAATGGGGTGTAGTCACCATTTAATTTGAGGTCAAAATGTGAGCTCACAGTTTTTCAGCCTGTGTAATTTTGCTGTGATCTCAGTGGCCACAAATGAACAGTGACAATATTTGGCCCTGATTGGGGTGTACACAGGAGACAACTTGGTTTTTCTCCCATCGCTGCCTTCGGAACGCTCTTGGATGCCCCTTTTCCACAAGTTACTAATATCCCCTCGCTTTCTGGCCACATTCAGGTACTAAAATGTCCAGTCTGGTCCAATTTTATTCAAAGTGGGGTCTGTTCATACATTCATTTTCCATCACTTTCATGAAGGCAGAGGGCAGGGGATGGTGGGAGGGGACAAGGGGATATGAGGCACCTGGGGGCCCTCTACAGTCCCTGATGTGGACAGCGCACTCCTCAGCCGACCTCTCCAAATCCTCCTTTAGTTTGGGTACACCTTCAGCCAGGAACCCACAGGCAGGACCTACTCCATGGCTCAGACACCCTCAGCATCTTTGCCACACCAAACGTGGACCTGCAGTTTCCTCTGTGAGCCCCAAGCTCTCCACACGTCTATTCCAGCCATCAGCGCCTCTCTAGCTAAAAGCAGGCCCTGACGGGAATCATGCCCCCAAAGTCCTGTAGACATGTCAGGCTCTCAGGCAAGGACTCGTCACCAAGCTCCATCCCCGTGGCCTCACAGAGACTGGACCGAGTGGCTAAGGCTCGCTCCTCCATCTGGGAGAGGTCAGGCTCTAGTTTTCACAGGCAGCTCCACCTTCTGCATTTGATTCCCTTAGACTGTCCCAGGCTTTGGCCTGAGTGGGAGCGGGAATCAGATGGACAGCTTCTCCCATTCTCTACCCTGGAAGGGGAGAGAAAAATCAAAGCGCTCTCTACTCCTAAAAAATGCCTTCTAAGGGTCCTCCTCTTGGATTTCCAGAGGTGGGGAGCAGTCACTGGACCAGTTCCTCTCTTGTTTATAAGTCCTGCGTGTATATATCTAGTAGCTTGCTTTCTGGAAT